GGACAATGGAGAGGGGGCGGTCTGAGCCGCTGGAGGGAGTGTCTGCAAAGTCTCGGAAGGCCTATGGAGGGAGTGCCCCTCTGGCTTCCATCCAGACCTTTGCTTGCAGTACAACACCCTCCTCCCCTCTTCAGGGTCAAGGGGCAGGTCCAGGGCTGGGGCTATAATCCCTGAGTCACAGTACTGTCCTAATTGTGGTGTGCCCTGGGGGAAATCAGCCGCCTTTCTGGGCCTTGGTTTGCCAATCCATGCAGTGGACACCATCAAACTCGGGGACAGAGCTAGAGGAAACCCTGGGTTAGAGACGCCCTTGTTGCCCAGCCACCGCCTTGACGGTTTCTAAACCCGACAGCCTCTAAGACAAGATCTGGTCTAGTCTGGCGGGAGGTGTCGAGCCCTAGTCTGACGGGGGAGCACAACCGACTGGGGATGGCAACTGTGGCACTGAGATGGAAGTGGACAGTGAGAGCCTGGCTGCAGTCGAGGCCGTGGCTCTGAAGAATGGGATGGTCTGATGCAGAAGAAGTCAAGTAGGTGGAGTTTCTGCCAGGAAGGGCCTGACTGTGGAGCAGTGGACTCATCCAACAGGTCTTTAGGAAGCCCACCAGGATCCAGGCACAGAGGCTGCTAGAAGCCTGGGCAGGCAGGCTGAGACTGGTGCGCTCAGATCTAAGATCAGGAACCTAGAGAACTCACCTTGGCCACCCTGTGGCTTGGGCTGTGGGAGCCATCAACCTCCCACCAGGAGAACTGGGAAACTGGCCACCTGGAGGACCTGCAGCAAGCAAGCACTTGGCCACAGCCCCTAGGCTCCCGACCAACCAGGCCTCCTCCTTAGGGATGGGGTGTGGGTCCTCCAACACCGAAGGGCCCGCACCTTAGGTGAAGTTGCTGGACCAAGGTTAATGGAGTTTTCTGCAAAGGGGAGCTGGCTGTGAATGAGGGAGGAAGTTGAAAAGACTTGTCTGTGGGAGGCAGAGGGGTGGAATTAGAAATGGTTCCCTGGGGCTTCAGGCCCTGGGGCCCCCTTTTATGTCCCACAGGGCCCACCCACCCTGCATCTTTTCAAACCCAGATTACTGCTCTCTTCCCCACCTCAGCCTTTTGGCAGGTCAGTATTTTGTCTACAGGGCCAGCAAGATGCCATCTCTTCTTTGGGCTTTTAAAAGGGAAGGCTTTGGACCAGCAAGTGGCATGGAGGTTAAGATGCTGGATCCCACATGGCTGACTGTAAAGTTCAGGTCCCAGACTGGACACTTGAAAGTTACACAGGACCTGCATATGTGCGTGTGCCCCAAATCCCAAGAGGAGACTGGAAGAGAAGGGATTGCAACCGTAGCCTTTTCCCCTCCCCCTGGGGGGGGTAATCTCTCTCTCTTTCTGGTTCATGCACACGCCCTTATAGCAAACAAAACAGCAGACTGTGCCTCTCCCTCTCCCCGCCAGCCCAGCTCACCCCCTGCCTGTGATCCATCCCTCCCTTTGCTGGGCTCACCTGCTCCACTTGGTTCTAGCAACCCAGATCATTGATCCAAACCCCTTGTGGGCAGGATGGGGTGTATGCCACAATTGTTTCCTTAATGGGGAGGGCGGGCAATGCCTCAGTCTCGGTTCTACTTCCTCATTTCTCCCACCCTCTGTCTTCATAAGGAGTATGGCTATGGCGGGGTACGAAGCCTCAGCCTGGGCAGCAGGGCCCTCATTTGGTTTAGGGAGGGGCTGGGAAGCGGGGACACACATCGGTTATGATGTGGGGAAAATGGGAAATGAGCTGATGGGACCCGCTGATGCAGTTCATAACTCACCCAGCAAACACTCACTGGGTGCTTGTCGCGTGCCCAGTGCGATGCTCAGGGTAGGAGCCAGCGGTGAATGTCATGGACGAGGTCTCTGCTCCCATGGGCAGATGCGTCTTCCTGAATGTGAAGTGAGCCCCTGCACACCAGCCGGCCATACGCCCTTCTTTCTGTTCCCACTGCAGGAGCCAGTAAGCGAGTGCTTGTGCCATTCACTTCCACCAGAAGTGCCCTCTCCCCAGCTGGGAGGGGGGGGGCTGGCTGGCTCCACCTGACCATGAGGGCTCAGCCCGAATGGCCCTTCACACACGGGGCTTCCTCTGTGGTCACCAGTCTGGTCTTCCTGCCCATTCTGGCTCACCCATCCTGATTTGCCCTTTCATAGCACCCATTACAATAATATGATTGTAATTATGTTATTTTCTTTGTTCCCTCTTTTTTTTTAAAAAAAAAAGAAAAAAGAAAAAAGGAATTATTCTATTTAACTTTGTTTATTTATTTTAATTTGACCAGAGAGGGACAGAGTGAGAGAGAGAGAAAAAGTGAGGACACAAACTGCCAGCTATGGAACTTGAACCACAGTTGGTCATGTGGGAGTCCAGCGCCCTTAACCACCATGCCACCTGTCAGCCCCTTTGTTCCCTCTTATTTATTTATTTTTAAATTTGTTAGAGGGTGCATGCATTCACTAGAGAGAGAGAAAGAAGTACCCCTAGGGAGGATAGCCATGCCATAATCCCTTCTCCATTCTCCTTCCGGGATTTTGGACATGCATACACATGCTCGGTGTGTCACTCAAACTGCAAGGTCTGGGACTCAAACCATGCAGTCGGCACATGAGAGCTAACCGCCTTAGCCACTAGCTGGCCCTGCTTCCTCTTTTAGATTGCAGGCACTGGTTTTAGGTACTGCCTAGTATGCAGAAGACACCAACAGATATGCTCAAAGAAAGGGAGGGAGGTGGGAAGAAGGAGTGCAGATCATCTGGGAGGAGGGTGGGAAGTAGAGGTACAGCCACCAGCACCCAAGGGCCTGCACTCCAAAAGGCCTGCAAAGAGAAGTGTGGGAGTCTTCAAAGGAGACTGAGGAGCTAGGAGAGGTGGGACAAGGGCGAGGGACGAAGCTCCCAGAGCTCCGGGAGGAGGACCGTGTGTACAGGCTCTGGTGAAAGAGGCAGCGGTGGGCTGGAGACCAAGGAGTGAGGCGGGAAGGGAGAGCACAGAGACCATGCTTGTGAAGAGAAAGGACAGGAGAAAGGGAA